TCCACCGCTGCAGCAGCAGCAGCAGCAGCAGCAGCAGCAGTCACACGCCCTTGGGGAAGACCGGGGGCGTGGGGTCTGTGCCCCCGATCTGGGCGCGGCCGTGGGGCCGCGGAAAAGGCCTGCGGGTTTTGGAAAGTCTGGGGAGGGTTTGGAGGCCCTGGGGGCCCCCCTGGGGGCCCCCCTTGAAGCAGTTGGGGTTTTTGTTGAAGTACACAAAGCCCGTCTTGTTGGGGGAGAGGCAGCAAAAGGGGTTGCTGCTGCGCTGCACTGGCCGCAGCAGCGGCAGCGCAGTCGCCAGGTAAAACCTCCCGCTGCCAGCAGCAGCAGCAGCAGCAGCAGGGCTCACCCACTTGCTGCTGCTGCCCGTCAGCAGCACGTCGTGCAGGTACTGCAGCATTTCGCTCTCTGACACCCACAAACCCCACACAACACCCACACACTTACCCGCTAGCTAGCTAGCTCGCTAGCTAGCTAGCTAGCTGCATCCGTGGATAGGTAGTTAGATAGCTAGCTGGCTGGATAGCTGCATGGCTGGGTTGCTACTTAGCTAGCTAGCTAGCCGGATTGCTGGGCAGCTAGCTAGCTGGATTGCTGGACAGCTAGCTACGCGCTTTGCCCGCCGGATAGCTAGCTAGCTAGCTAGCTGGTGCGCGGCTGACTGGCTAGCTAGCCAGTTCGCGGGCACGTGAATAGCTAGCTAGAAGCCCCAAACGGGGGCCCCCTTTCTTGGGGCCCCCAGACCCGGGGGCCCCCAAACTAGCTAGGGGCCCCTCCTAGCTTGGGGGCCCCCAAACTAGGGGCCCCAGCTGGGGGGCCCCTGGCTGGGGGCCCCCCTGGTTGGGTGCTGCTTGCCTTGCTGGTGGCGCATGAGGGCCTTGACTGCCAGGGGCCCCATGTGTCTGTTATAATGCCACTCGAAGATTTCCCACTTGAGTTCTTTCATGAAGGGGCTGAAGCCACTCAGAGCCAGGGGCACCCGCGTCTTCACACGCTGGCCCTCCCTTCGGAACCGGAACGCCATCGCAGCTAGCTAGCTAGCTAGCTAGCTAGCTAGCTGGCTGGCTGGCTGGCTGGCTGGCTCGCGAGCTCTCTCGCTGGCTAGCCAGCTGGCTAGCTAGCTGGCTAGCTGCCTCT